CTCCCTCTCTCTCTCTCTCTCTCTCTCTCTCTCACACACACACACACACACACTGGCATACAAAGGGAGGAGGAGGCGGGAGCGAGGAGGGAGGGCGAGGAATAGTGCAGGAGCGGGAGTGGGAGAATGAGAGCAGGATTAGGAGGACGACAAAGCGGATGAGCGGGAGCCGGAGTAGGAACAGGAGGACGATGAAGCGGAGGAGCGGGAGGCAGAGCGGGAAGAGGAGGACAATGAAGCAGCGTAGCTTAGGAAGCGGCAGAAGGGGAGGAAGCGGAGGAAGAGGAGGAAGCAGTGTGGGAGGAGGAAGAGAAGGACGAAGAGGAGGAGGGAAGGAGGGGAGGAGGTGGAGGAGGCGGGTTGAGTTCAACGGGAATAATGGACTATTCCCAGCTCCACATGCCAGAGCAACGAGGAGGTACGAGGAGCAGAAGAGAAGCTGGAGGACGAGTGGGAGAAGGAGCACAGCAGGAGGAGCAGCAGGAGTGGGACTACGAGTAGAGGAGGCGCGGAACCGGGAGGAGCAGAGCAGGAGCAAGAGGAGTTGAGGAAGTGGAGGTGGGGAAGGGGGAGGAGGAGGGGGAAGAGATGGAGGATGAGCCCATATGAATTCAAGGCTGATAACGCTTTTTTTTTCCTTTTGTTTCTCCTTTCTAATTTGTATCACTTCCCAACTTATGTGCGTCATCTTTGCACAGGGCCATGCCATTAAAGTTTTGAAAAGTGATCGAACATAACCAGCAACACAATGGCGAAAAAAAAAGGGTAAAAAAACGGAGGTGAGCGCCGTATTGAGCACAGAGGAGAGCAACGAGGCGGAGGAAGACGAGGAGGAGGAAGACGAGGAGAAGAAGGAAGTGGAGGAGGCGGATGTGTGAGACGAGGAGGTGAGGAGAAGGAGAAAGAGCAAGAGGGGAAAAGGAAGATGAGAAGCTGTAAAACGAGGACGAACTCGTGGGAGAAGGAAGGACAAGAGGGACAACAAGCACAAACATAATGGTGACAAAAAAAAGGGCACGCCACCCGTGTGGCACAGGGAGGAGCGCAAAGAGCAGTGGCAGCCTCCTTCTTCCGCTCCTCACATTTCGCGACTGTTTGTCACTGGCTCTCTATGCTACTATCGCCCACATAGTACCATTCAGCCCACATGGTATGACCTGTGTTGGGCATCGAAAGGGTGCGTGCCAGGTGGCCCACGGAGCAGAACAATGGACCGACATGAGAAGGAACATGACGAGGAGAGGGTGAGCAGGAGAACCTGTGGTGGAGGAGGGAAGGACGCAGAAGCAGGGAGATGAGGAGGGGGGGTGGACATGGGAGGAGGATGGAGGAGGTGGGGGAAGGTGAGGACGAGCCCGGGACGAGGAGGAACAGATGGAAAATGGCTGCCATCAGGAAGGACGAGGCAGAGGAGGACATGGAGGTGCCATCCGTGTGGACTGTGCCGCGAGCGTAGCCGCAGCGGGTCCACTTGTTTTTTTAAAAAAAAAATTTTGTGCTTTCATAAATGGCTGCCATCAGGAAGGACGAGGCAGAGGAGGACATGGAGGTGCCATCCGTGTGGACTGTGCCGCGAGCGTAGCTGCAGCGGGTCCACTTGTTTTTTTAAATGTTTTTTTTTGTGCTTTCATTCTCGTCTACAGGGGAGGGGCTCCGCCCAACGAGAAAGGCTGGAGGCCTTGCGGCCCTTAACGGAAATTGAACTCACATTGCTTAGTCGACGCTGCAGCTCTTTCTCCTTGTGCAATCTCTCTGCTCGTTCTTGTTCCTCCTTCATCATGTTATCATACGCGGCCATAACCTCTTCCTCTTGCTTCAGTAAAAGCCGCTTTTCTTCTGTCTAGCAGTTTCAAACCACAGCAAGACAAAAAGACAAACATGCTTCAAAAAAAAAAAAAAAACAGAGCAAGGGTGCCTCTCCTCTCTTTATGTAATACAAGTTCAGAATGCGGCAAAAACAAAGGTGAACATGTCCCTCTTTTTGAATAAAAACATTGCAAGTTTTTTTCCCCCCCAAAAAGAAACAAAAGAACTACGGGGCTGGAAGATGGAAAGGGAGGGTGGGGAAGAGTGCAAGTAGGGGGGGCGAGGGGGGGGGCAGGGGGGCGGAGAGAGGTGGGGGGGGAAGGTAGGTAAGAAGAAAAGGATGGGAAACCGGGAGGGGGAGGAACCCGTAATGACTGGGTACCATTGGGAGTCTCCTGGTTACAGGTGTCCTCTGCTTTGGGGTCCTGAATGTATTAGCTTGGGGTCTTCGATATATTCATTTGTACATTGTATGCTTGACGGTGATAAGCAACCGGACTGCCGCCCCCCAGAATGCATGGGGCACCTGAGTGGGTGTTGTGTTTTTCTTGAAAAAAAACAGAACACCTCTCCTCCTCTGTCTAGCAGTTAACAAAAAACAAAACAATAAAAGAGAAGACAGAAAGGCAACTCGGTAACAACCTGAGAATAGATATGAAAAGATCACCCTCATGGCGGCCACTCTCCAACGCATTTCCACTGCTACATTCATGCTAGGAAAGCATGAAACTTGCCACTATTATGGCCAGGTTCATGCTTTCCGAACATGAACATAGCACCTCATGCGGCTAGCAAAGCACGAAACTTGCCACTAATACAGCCACAGAGCACAGGTGGGGTCTGGCCATGAAGCTGCTTCTTTTTGTCTAAGCAGTTCTAAAACAGCCAAGTCCTTTGGGACGTCTATCAAACTGTGGCCAGATTCAGTCAAACAAGTCCATGCAAGCATATATTTTTGGCCACATTCGGTCAAACAAGTCCATGCAAGCATCCGGAGATACAGTGCAGCGCCCGGCGAAGCACCGCACGTCCTGTGGTGTCCAGCATGCCCCCTACGGCCCTTGAAAATCTGGAGCTGAAAAAAAACAGAAGTCCATGCAAGCATACGTTTTTCGCCAGATTTGGTCAAAACAGTCCATGCAAGCACCTGTTTGGTCAAATTCGGTCAAACAAGTCCACGCAAGCATATATTTAGCCAGATTCGGTCAAATAAGTCCATGGCAGTATATGCTTGTTCATCTTCACCAAGGTGACAAATTCGTCTCGTCGACCCTCAATAAAGCCAAATTCGACATGGAAACTCCCCGTCGGAGATTCAGTGGTGAGGCGATTGTAAGAGCTTCCACTCTTCAAACCACAATACCGGCAACCGGCGAACCCTATGGAAGACTCATCAGATCCGATGGATCCGGTCCGGGTTTCAAAAGACTCGATGATTCCAAACTGTTCCTAGATGGGAAAAGCAATGTCAAATAACATAGAGTCCGACCAATCAGACAAATAAAAAAAAAAATTCAAGAGACCGAGAAAAACGCACCTGATTAGTCCAATCACCGCACGATCACACATAGTGTAATGACCCGTCAGAACACAGACTGAGAACACTGCTGATTTCTGAGTTGTGCTGCTGGAATGAATGCTTTGCTGAGATTTCCGCGTTCTGCTGAGTTTTCTAAGTCTGTGTGTGTGCGTGCTTGCTGGTCTGTGTGCCTGTCCGAGTGCTTCTCGGTCTGAGTGTGTGTGTGACCCACAAGGGCACTTGTTTGTTTGGAGGCCCCGCAGGGCCAGTGCTTACCTGTGGCCGTGACTTTCAGGGTTGCAGCGGGTAAGAACACTCAAGTGGCCGAGTGGGCCCACGGCACTTAGAGCAGCGGGAAAAACACTCAAGTAGTAGGTAGGCCGGTACCACTCAAGTAGCAGTGGATGTGTCGGGGTTTGGAGGGCGAGCCGAAGAAGACAAAAGTTGGCATTTTTAGAGGCCCAGTAGCTTACCGGCCAGGCCTAGGCCGCTAGCAGTCCAAGTAGCCCAAGTCTAGGGCCTGTGCGGACGATATCAGAGCCTGCAATGATGTTTCCCTCTGAAAGGGCGGAGGTACCGGTTGCTTGGAGGCTGCGTGGCCTGGAAGTCACCGCCCAAGAGGCAGGTAGACCGCTATATCTTCAGGTAGAGTCCTGGGCTATACCTCATTTGCGGTATGCAAGTTTGGGTGACATGCTGCTTGAGCGAGCACCAGCATTCTTGGGGCTGCTGGAAGAAGAGCGCTGGTAGGAGCAGAGCTGGGAGGAGGAAGAAGGCCGGGAGCTTCCACCTCAGCTATGATGGAGCTCTACCGGTAGGAGGCAGAAGGGGACTAGGGAGGAGAGTGGCGAGGTACCTACCTGGCTATGGTGGACGCCATCTTCATCACCTTGTTAGGCACTGCATCTGTAAGGCCCAAGTGGGGGTTGTGCCGCACCAAGAAGATTTCAAGGCAGAGTCAGGCATGGCGGCCTGAACAGCAGCAGACATAGCTGCTTTGCTTTGTCTTTTGCACAGCAGGGTAAGGGCCTTGCCATAGCCTTGATCTGGTTGAGGACGAAGAACATGGAGGCCATGGCTATGGTGGACCTCTAGTTATGCCAAGCAGTAGAATTGGGATTCGGACATTGATTCTGGTTGAACTGGTTCTTCCATTCATCATTATTATTCTTGTCTATTTTTTGAATAAGAGGGAGGAGAGGAGGAGGAGTTTGGTTGGCGAGAAGGAGAGGGATAATCATAGGTCTTTTGCTGGTGTACATCTTCTTCTTCTCTCTTTCATCTTTTTCTCCTTTATCTCTCCCTTCTCTCAAGTTCATTCATTTCTTTTCCAATTGGACGGCATTGTGCTTCCTCGTGAATTTTGCACTTCCAAATTGACCAGGATCGTAACATTGGTATCAGAGTGGATTCTACTTGCTGGCGAGAGTTGACTTTGCTTCCCTAACCCTAACCTAAGTGGTTGAGGGCACCACTTAGGGTTAGGGTTAGTCCGTGAAGGGAAGTGGGCGAGCGTGGTGTAGGGAAGCTTCTCCCACCTGGTTTGGTCGTGTTGGGTCAACAGTGGACCTGACCAGGTTGCAAGAGTGCAAGTTTGGGGAGGCGAGACACTTGGAGGAGCATCGTGATGCAATTTGTGAGGGGCAACAGTGAGAGGCACCTGCAACTGGAATCTGGACTTCAAGGAGGACATTGGGCGATTTTAGGGCTCCCCTCAAGTTGGTGAGCTTGAGGGTGGAGCCATATCTTCACCTACGGACTGCAAGTTGCTACTTTGGTCTTCAACATCGACAGGCGATCCGGCGTTGTACCTTGGGGTAGGGTAGACCCTCCTAGGTGATAGGACACTAGTGCAGACATTGCTGATTGGTCAGGACGACCATACGAGCGGGGGGTGAGTTATACTTCATCTCAAAGCTCAAGCCACTCAGGTAAGTGCCGTGCACCTACGGGATGCCCATGAGTGTGCGTGTATGGTATTAATGTCCTGCTCGGGTTGATTCTGGGTTTCTTTTCCTACTCCTCTGTGGTCTTCATTGTGTGCATGAGCGTGCAAACATCTTTCTCACTTGATGAGTGGATGGATGGAGTATCTTGAATTGAGCGCCGTATCTTTCTACAGTGCTTTGTCTTTTCATTTCTGAACGGCCGTAGTTGGTAGGTTCTCTCTTAAGTTGAAATTCGTTTTTCAGTACGATAGGTGGCAGAAAGTAGGTACTTGTGGCACTCTTCTTGGTTGGGACCTAGCCGGGACCTACCTGGAACCTCGGGGAACAGTGGAACCGGCCCCAAACAAGGAGGGCCCCTTAGGCCCAAATCTGTTGACGGCGTTTCATTTCTGTGTCTTGCTGGAAATCGGAGTTTTATCATTGGTTAGGGCACTCGCCGTCGAGGGGATCTCGGCTGAGGTGTTTTGCACATTTTTTTTCCGCACGGTTCGGCGCTTGGCTTACACCTTATACACCACTCGATTCTCCATTGTGTCGTGATTGTTGATCTTTGCTTTGATTTGCTGTACGTTCATGGAACTGAGCCAGATTGGGCAGGAGGGGATCTCGTACTTAATCTGGACAGGCCGGATCGATGGATCAAGACTCTCATCTTGAATTATTTTTATTTTCTTAATATTTTGACTGCTCTCCAATCCAAATGAATTGCCGCTCCGGCTAGGAGTTCTACCTCCTTTTTTGTGTGAATTTCAGTTTGTTTCTTCCATTGGGTTCTTTAAATGCCCGCTTCGACGCAATCACAAACGAGAGAGAGAGAGAGAGAGAAGAGAAGCTTTCAAGTGTCGCGCTTGAGGGAGTTAGGAGAGGGAAGAGGAGTTTTCATCCTAGAGTTGTGAGGAATTACGGATCTCTCTTGAGAGACTTACTGACACCCTTATCCTCCATCAAGACGACTGCAGCAGAATGGAAGCTGCGGGTGGACGCTGCCCCTAAGGCTGAACAAAAGCAATACCTATTCTTTTATGAGAAAGCATTGAAGAGGGAAGAGAAAGAGAGGGAGAGGGAGAAGGGAGACAAAGTGAAATCCGATGAGGCTGTCTTCAGCACTGTGCCCACCTTGACTGATGCTGAGGTGGGGGAGAAGACTGTTCCACTTCTCAGAGCCTTAGTAGATGTCTGGGCAGTTGAGGACCATGCTGGCCAGCTCACGTTGAGTGTTTGAGGAAATCAAGAAGTTGCGCGAAGACATGGCCAAGATGGCACAGCCGCACCGTGACCAGCTGCAGCAGTTTGTGAATCTGCAGCAAGCCCAAATTGTCCTCCCTCCTGCCTACCCTACTTCTAAAGCTGCGAAGAAGTCCATTTTAGCCCCTCTTATTGTGTCTTCTTCTTCTTCTTTTTTTAGCGTGGTCAGGAATTTTGGAACTACTTCAGCCCCAAGTTTGGACCCAGCAATTGCTGGTCCTAGTTGCAGTTTTCCTTATGTGGACAGAAAGGGACGACATCGAGTGTTGGATCAGCTCTACGCGATCCTACTTTGATGAGATGGGGACACCCCCAGTTACTCCATCGTTGGTCCTAGGGACCAATGTGGAACCCGCCATACGAGGCTGCTTAGAAGTCTATTGTACAGTCAAGTTATAAGAGAATAGAACTGAACAAATGGCTGAAGGTTACACCGATAGCCACACTCGAGGATCTAATCAAGCAATATGTTGATCGACATGCTGCAGCTAAAGCTAGACTCAAGCTTGACAAGCTCAAGCACAGCAAGTGCATGGGCACCATGGATAGTCTGCAACAGTATGTTAGTAAACTCTTTGTTACTCCTGATTTGAAGATGAATGCGCAGTCTTGCTTGGATGTGATTAAAGGTACGGTTTCTTCTACTACAACTTATCGCCTGGAGCTCGGACTCGCAGACTATACAGATTGGTTTTCCCTCATGTAGGATTAGTCAAGCTAGAGGCACAAGACGTCTCGGGTGGATTGGGTGGTGGAAAGACCACCAACCGCAAACGGTTTTCAAACAAAAACCGTTTTGCAGTGCACGATCAGCTAGAGGTTGACGAGGAGACCTTTGCAGAGGACCCTTCTCTTGGTGACGACCAGGATCAAGACTGCGAGGCATCTTGCTCTTCGTCAACCGACGAGTCAGACTATGCAAATGAGGATGAAAAACTTAATGCCTTCACTAAGACTGCCAAGACCCGCAAGGGACCAAACCGGAACTCGGTGCATAACACTCTTTATCTCTCCAAAGGAGCCAAAATCCCACATAAACCCGAGGAAACAGCAACCAAACCTTGGATTAATCTCCGGAATGGCGAAAGTGCATTGAGAAGTAGGCTCAAGAGAAATGTTTGGATGCATTGCCAGCTACCTGGGCACACAGTTGACAAGTGTTTTAGGGTGTAGGGAAACCAGCCATGGGCGTAAAGGTGTTGTCAGCACACTCTACCATGGGGAAGGCTGAAACAGTAAGTCGTGATTCTCCTACGGGATCTGATGTCGTTCAACAGCCTTCTCTTGATGCCGCTTCATTTGCTGATTTCAAGGCTGCTGCAAATCCAACCCTATATGTCAAGCCTTGGGAGGAGTCTAGGAAGATCAACTTCCACGCTCACTTGCAACATTTGCCTGAGATGAAACAACACCATGTTCAAGGGACACTGCAATTTATTTTCTTCAAACTTCTCATTAAACATTGTTACCTTCGTGTCCTGGTTAATAGTGGTTCCACTGCAAATTTTCTTTTTTCCACACGGGGTTCGCAAGGTGGGCTTGGGAATGAAGCAAGTGGAATTGCAGAACCTTTGCCAGACCCAAGTGGGCAACAAAGAGATTGTCACTTCCACGCATGCAGTCAAAGGTGTGCGCACTACGTAAACCATAGGCGGAGAGGGCGAAGAGGACAACAAACGAGGGGTTGTGACAAACTATTTCGTCAGAGTTTTACTGACTCATCAGGAGACTGAACCCTCAACAGTCTGCAGAATCCGCTAACTGATTACATTGTAACTGATAATCCAACTTAACCCCGGTTGTGGTTAAGCATCAACGACTGCCCGACAATTGATACCCTGAGGTGGGCACCAACCACTGCCCTCAAGGTACCTGTGACGAAAATCAAAGCAGACTATCACTCACCCACACCAGGTGGAACACTCTACAGATTGTCGGTTCACATACATATCGTCAAACATAGTTGCCCGGTATATATATAACATATATAGCCTAGATACATACATATAAAAGTATTATAATTTATAATATTGTGATGATCCGACCAAACACGGACTGAGACAGCTGATTTCTGAGTTTTGCTCATGGACTGAATGCCTTGCTGAGTTTCCAGCTTGCTACTAAGTTCTCTAAGTCTGTGTGTGGGCACGCTTGCTGCTCTGCATGTCTGTCTGAGTGCTTGTTGGCTGGAGTGTGTGTATGACTCGCAAGGGCACTTGTTCGTTCATTGGGCCCTCAGGGCCGGTACTTACCTGTGGCCGTGACATTGAGGGTTGCAGCGGGGAAAACACTCAAGTGACGGGGGAAGAGGCCCGCAACACTGGAGCAGCGGGGAAACACTCAGTAGCAGGTAGGCCGGTACCACAGCCCGAAGAGGTAGATGTGCCGGGTACTCGAGGCCGAGCAGAAGAAGACAAAAGTTGGCATTTTTAGAGGCCCAATAGTTGTAGGCTAGGTCTAGGCGGGTACCAGTCCAACCAGTCTGAGTCTAGGGCCTGTACAAGCAATATCAGAGTCTGCAATGATGATTCCCTCTGAAAGGGAGGAGGTGCCGGTTGCTTGGAAGGCCGAGCGGCCTGGAAGTCACCGCCCAAGAGGCAAGTAGGCCGCTATATCTCCAGGTCGGGCGAAGAGCCCACCCTCATTGTCGATGTGCAAGTTTGGCGACACACAGGTTGGAGCGCTGGCTGGAGCAGCGCTGCTGAGGAAGGAGCAAGGACACAGAGGAGGAAGAAGACCAGGAGAGAGGGGGAGCACCAGAGATACTTACCTGGCTATGGTGGCAGCCATCTTCATCACCTTGGCGGGCGCTGCAGCAGGAAGGCCCCAGCTGGGGTAGAGCTACACCAAGAAGCTTCGAGGCAGAGTCAGGCATGGCGGCCTGAGCTAGAGCAGCCATAGCTGCTTTGGGTTGTCCTCTGGACATCAGGGGAAGGCCTAGTAGTCCGTCATAGCCTCGGCCTATGAGAGTGAAGAGTGGGGGAGGCGCCATGGCTATGGTGGACCTCAAGTGATACCTGCAGTAGAAGAGGGATTCGGACAGTGATTCTGGTTCAGCCATTCGAAATTGTCTTATTATTTCTTGTATGCATAAGAGCAGAGGAGATAAGGAGGAGGAGAGTGTTTGGCGAAGAAGAAGAGCTTTACCATTTGTCTATGCTGGTGTACATCATCTTCTTCTTTCTTTCTTTCTTCTTCTTCTTCTTCTTCTTCTTCTTCTTCTTCTTCTTCTTCTTCTTCTTCTTCTTCTAATCCTCTCTCTCCTCTCAAGTTCATTCATTTCTATCTTCAATTGGACGCCATTCTACTATGTGATGAATGTGTACTTCGAAATTGACCAGATTATAACAATATTATGAATCTGTTTCTTGGTACAGACTCCACTGACCTGTAGCGCTCGCTCCTTGTTCATCTGTGCAGCCCTGAGCCTCTCCAGGAGAGATCTTATCTCTTCACTTTCGTCCCGTATCCGTAGTAGTAGTTGTTCCTTTCTCTCCTTCTCCTTTTCTTTCTCCGCGAGAGCTGCTGCTATTTTCTCATTATCAGCTGCAGCCTTCAATCACAGATTGCAGCTCAAAAGTCCCAAAAAACAAAAAACAAAAAACAAAAAACAAAAACCAAAAACCAAAAAACAAAAAACGGACTTCACTCAAAAACAAATTTCATCAAATGCTGACAAGAATTTGCACATTGAGCAACAAAATCAGAAAAGGAATTTAAATCCATTTAAGAGAATGAATAACCAACCATATGCAAAGCTAGGGTATTTTACTATTTTTAAATGCAACCAGACATGGATGTCTTGTGCTCGGACACACATGATACATGCTCAATCGAGCAATGTATATGGAGCCAAGGATCCGCAAAGTGATGAAAAGGACTCGAATGGACAATGCAGCATCAACAAGCAATGTACATCAGATACATACGAAAATAGCACAATGTAGAGCAGTGGAAGACTCAAAAATATTACCTGACCTGTCAGATACTGATGCAAAACCCCATCATACACCACACATGTGAGAGAGAGGGGAGGACCGCATACCGGAAGAAAGGTCCCTCCTTGAGCACACACATGGGGAGATACCACGGATGAGGAGATGGGGGAGAGGCGAGACGAAGATGGAGGTGAGGGAGAAGACCAAGATCGTGATAGTGGAGTCCAAAAATAGTCTCCCTGCCGAATGTCCAATCAATGTCTGCCACAAAAATGTTGAATCAGATCCTGGGCCTCATGGGCCAATGTAACCTCTGCCTGTAACCTCTCTCTCTCTCTCTGAAAGAAGGATAAGAAGACGAAGACGAAGAAGAAGAAGAAGAAGAAGAAGAAGAAGAAGAAGAAGAAGAAGAAGGAGGAGGAGGAGGAGGAGGAGGAGGAAGGAGGAAGGAGGAAGAAGAGATGGAGGGCGAGACGTAAGAAGAAGAAGAAGATGTCGCCCTCCTCACTGTCTCACCTGCAGGTAACTTCCACCACGTACTAACTGACGCCGGCGTGTCTCTTTGTGCAGGTCGCTGGCGTGGAGTCCAACTATGGCACCCAGGTAAGTACCGCCTCCGCCTCACCTCCTACCTACACGTCGACACCTTAGCGCAGCGCTGTGTCGCGCTGCTCCAGCAGCGTGTCGCCCAAGAAGTGAGCTAATCAAACTGTGTGTCTTCCCTGGCCTGGCCCAGCTATATGTAGCGCTGGGCCTTGCTGGTGTGCCCTCCATGTGCCTCTGGTCCTTGGCCTGAAACAGCCTGCCTGGGTCCCTACCGGACGTCCAGGCCCTCCCTGTTGATGCAGCAGAGAGTGTCCACTACCGGACGAAAGAGGACCTGGCCCGAAAAGGGCCTGCATGCCAACGAACAAGGCCCAAAACGTGGCCTTTGTCCAAACAGACTGAAAGTCTGTTCGGACGAACTGCAAGTCCGAAATGACGCCTGAACAGACAAAAATAGGACAGCAAACAAATAGATAAATAAATAAATGAATGAATGCCACCTCAAATCGAAACCTGCAACCCTAGAGCCGTCCATGGGCCTCCAGGGCACGCGCCTGAGGGGTGTGCGGCATGGGGGCCCCCAGCAACCATCCGGCCCCCAAAACGGGGCCCATGTGCAGGCTTAGCATGTAACACACGCCTGGCCACTCAGGGCCCCTGGGCAGGATTCCGGGCAAGCACCAGTGCAAAAACAAAGGGGAAAAAAAAAATCTCAAAAGAGTCAAAACTTGTGGCAAAAAAAAAAGTCTTGTGTGTAAGCCGTGGGATCTGGACAATAACATGTGACGACAAAATCATTCAAAATTTTAAGAAATAAAAGGCAGCAAAGAAAAAGGACACAGCAGAAGTGGGAAAAAAAAGGGGAAATTCAAAACAAGGAAATCACCTTAGCTGCAGCTTCCTTTTCCCACTGCACTTTTGTGAGACACTCCCACATGGCTTCCTCCTCTTGCCGCTCTCGCGTCTAATGAGCACATGGAAGTAAAAAAACTTAGAGAAGCATAATAAATAATAGACTTGTAATTTACTAATCTATAATTTTCGACCATAAAAAGAAGAGCCTTTCAAAAAAAAAAAAAAAAAAGAAATGAAAGAAAGAAAAGAGCCCTCGGCAAAGTGGTCGGGTATGCCTGGCCAGTGGAGAGAATGTCACAGAGGACAAAGAAGAACGTACAAAGCCACATCATTTGAAAAAATAAATAAACAAAACAACAAAAAGAAACTTAAAAAAAGTAAAGCAATTGCATAGTGGAAGGGTTCTTCAAACTCTCCCCACCCATCTTCAAACGCTCATGGCACTATTTGGGGAAAAAAAAAAAAAAAAGACTTGCAGCATACACACAGTATGACTTTCAAGAATTGTATTTGATGGGCTCTGCCCACAATGACTGTGAGTCGTTACTGTTTTCCGCTAACTCTTTTAATTAGGGGCCCAGGCTTCCTCAGAACTATGTGATGCCAATTACAGCTAGATACAGTCCACAGAGAGAGAGAAAGGGGGAGCAAAGGAAAAAGAAAAGAACCCAAGAAAATCCTGAAAGAGTAGCAAAGTGAATTGAGTTCAATTAACAGTAAATAAAGGGTAAACCAAAAAGCGGGGGTGAAAGGCAGAGTGGGGGGGGGAGAGAGAGAGAGAGAGAGAGAGAGAGAGAGAGAGAGAGAGAGAGAGAGAGAGAGAGAGAGAGAGNTGTTATACACATCTAGATGTGTATAAGAGACAGGAGAGAGAGAGAGAGAGAGAGCGAGAGAGAGAGAGAGAGAGAGAGAGAGAGAGAAGGGGTGGAAGGAAGAGGTGGGGGGGCGGAACACAGAGAGAGAGAGAGAGAGAGAAAGAGAGAGAGAGAGAGAGAGAGAGAGAGAGAGAGAGAGAGAGAGAGAGAGATCAGCGCAGTAAGTAGCCAGTCTCCTACCAACGTCATTCCATTGAGTCAACACACACACACACACACACACACACACACACACAGGTCCTGCGGGTCGGCATAAGGAAGGGCCAGTTGAGGAAGACATGACTGAACTAAGCACACAGAATCTTCTGAAAAATGAATGAAGGAAAAGCAAAATATCAAAAAATGTAAAAGGTAAAAGACAAACAAAAAAAAAACAAAGAAACTCGCCCCTCGCTCCCTTCCCCAAAAAATGAGTTCAAAGAACTGACCTCGCGGATGCGGCGAAGGTTCTCCATCCGATCGTCAAATTTGTTGATGTCATACTGAACCTTATCCTGGTGAATAAACCTGGAAACAATGACCAGGACCACGCCAGAGAAAAAGATAACAGGAAAAGAAAACGGGGGAAAAAAAAACATCAGCTAGTGGCATTCAGTAGGTCGTGGGTTCAATTCCCACTGACATCCAGCCTAATTATCCGTAAATCATGATAGTGAAGAAAAGCCAAAAGAATTGTTAAACCACAAGTATCACCGAGCTTCTTTTTGCCGAGGCGGATTCCCACTGCGCGCCCAGAAAAGCTGAACCGCCATGGCAACGTTTTTTTCTTCCCCTTTTGGCTGGCGTCATCAGCCATTTTGGTCTGGTAGCACTGTTCACCCAACGTCTACAGAATGTCGCATTTCCGGTTCTCGATTTGGCTGGGAAAGGTAGTGGTGGTTCAAAGAAAGAGATTCAAAAGAAAAAGGCCATTCAATACATGTGAAAGGATTTCACATTGCAGACCTCCAAAGTCCCGGTCCCAAGGTCCCAAATTGTCCCAGTCCCAGTTGGGCCCAGTCCCACATGGTCCCAATAGGTGAGTCCCAGGTAGGGTCGTTAGAGTCCTTAGGTCCGTAGGAGGCCGAAACGTCAAAATCGATGTCAGGCCAGTATCTCGTAAGTCGACGTTGGGCTGGTACTGTACAGGCAGACCGGTAAAAGTCCAACCGGTACCCCACAGGAAAAAAGTCCAGACCCAAAATCGAGTGCTGCAGCGGTGTCCCAGTGAAAGTCTGAAGGTACCGGCCACCAAAATTCATGCAGCAGACAGGCCGCGGTGTCGCACTTTTTCCAGTCGGGCCACTTCAGGCGAGCGAGACCCTTCGATTGCGGTCTTCGCCGGACCCCGGTCTTAGGAATCTTTAATTGTGATTCGGAACAACAATGATAATGCAGACAATAAAAAATAAATTAAATATGCCATGTGTGTATCAAGATGCCAATTTAGGGGGTTGAGAACCGTGACATGATCAGCAAGGAAATACAATCATCAAGCAATGCCAGAAGAGATAATCAAGACTGACTGACTCAAGGCAAAGACAAGATGAATGTGGGAAAAGTGAGAACTCATAACAATCTTAGGGAGTACATATTGAAGAGAGCATGGCCAGCACCAATCAAGAGTCCTCACTCAACCCTCTGAACTTCACTCTGTCTCTAACTTTGCTGTCCGTCGTCTGGGCTTCTTGCCATGTCTCCGTACTCTCTGAGGTTGTGGCTTCTGAATGTATAGCCACCTGAAGCCTACTAGTTTCAAACATTTCCAGCCAAGTCCCATGATACGGAAGTCAAGCATGGCACAAAATTTATCCCATAGTGTGGGGAGATATGGCTGAGAGAAAATGCCCCTCCTAAGATGTGGAAACTCAGAGGGCTCTGTCACTGCCTTATAGTCGATCACTGCCGGCGATATGTACCTCTTGGCCAAGTCCACCAATCCACCCCAATAAGAGTCATCAGTAAGGTAGTAGGGGACCGGAGGTTTGGGATAGTCAGTGAAAAGCTTAGGACCAAGGCTATAGACTAGCTTTGTGTTCCCCTGGAGCCTCTCAGCTTTCCATTGCACATACCCGGCTGCTGCTGCCCACACCGCATCAAAATGAGGGTGTGTCTCGTTCCCCTTTCTCAGGAAGATCCGTAGGTCGCTGACTGTACCTTCAGCGAACTCAGTGAGAGCGATGAAGATGGACAGGTCTTCACGCCTGAACCCATCAATCCTGACGTACTTGTGGGGGAAGCTCTCCTTAGCAGCAATTTGGTTGAGCCCGTCAAGGACCGACTAGTCAACTGTGATGGGACAAATAATTACTCTCTGATAGAGAGAAAAGTGACTGCGTTTGGTTAACAGACGTCCGCCGCTTGAGTGCCTCTTGAATACTGTCCTGAGTACTGTTTCTGGTCGCTACTTCTGATTCCCGCTTCTGATTACTGTTGCTGGTTGCTGATCAGGGACAGAACGTTGCTGAGGTTGCGGACTAAACGCTGATTAGGTGTTGATTGGTTGCCGACTAAGAACTGAACATCACTGAATAACTACTAATCGAGAAGCTGAATACTGTTGAATTTTGCCTGGTTGAAAACAGAATGCTGCTGATTGAGTTAACCTTTTGCTTACCAATGAATGTCTGTTACCGTTCAAACTGATTGTTTGCTGGTTAAATACAGATTAAGTAGTAGATAAACCACTGTTGAATGTTGTTCTTAATACCTCTACAAGTGTTGTTTTGAGTAGTGTTCTGAACGCTGCTCTGAGTACAGATTGACTGTTGGTCAGGAAACTGATTAAACGCTGGTCATAAAAACTGACTAACCATTGGATAGTTGAACGGCTACCTGTTGATTGAGTGTTGTCTGAGATCTGCTTGATCAAAGAGTCACCGTACTGTAATCACTCAAAGGCTGAAAGCAATTGCAGTTTTGCTGGCTGATATTCAGACATCCAGAATACTGTTATAATACCAGTTGAACCCTGACTGGAAAAAAAACTGGTCAAAGAACTGATCGATTGCTGCTTGAACGTTGTTTTGAGTACTAGGTATTGCTCTGATTATCACTTTGAGTACTGCCTTGAGTATCGCCTGAGTACCAACTGAGAAACATCTGAGTATTCGACGAGGTATCATCTAAGTGCTCAATGAGTAGAGAGGTCCCCGAACTCTGGTCATGCAGTAGAGAAACGTTGGGAAGGGGAAACAAAATAACTAGGGAGTCTTGGTTTACTGAGAAGTGGGTGATGGACCCTAAGCAGGAGTTTCGGACACCCCTATGTCCGTTTGAGTTTTGCCTTGGCCTTCTCCACAGATTCTAATATTGAGCCGGTACTGTGCAGCTTGTCGTCATGCCCGTAGAAGTAGGTTATGTATTCGATATACTTTCTCCCCCCGACGGTTCTGACTGCAAATTCCCTCTGGGTTAATGCGTGAGTTTCCATATCTTTGCACGCGTCCTCTTCCCATCCCTTCTATTTATCTCGCTTGATTGTACCTTCAACTAGTTTCTCAGCGTCTCCCATGTTTCCCCCTTTGCCAGTTCTTTGTTCCTTGCTTAAATCCAACTAAGGTTGCACGCTTCCCGCCGTATACTACGAACAAAAGCCACCATGCTCAGTCCCGGGGCTACTCTGAATACAGTGATTGCACAATGCCCAATATCCTCAATAATCGCACAAACTGCTCAAAAGAAATATACAGATAGGAGTGGCGTGCTATCACATAATTTTGCCAATAAAACCCTTCCCTTTTCTCTTACCCCCAATGATACTGCACGCAGACTTTTCCAGGGACAGCATGCAGAGTATAGATGAAGAGATGTAAGTAGGACACTCAAGCGGCGTCACTCGCTCTCGATCAGCCGCTCATAGCAGACCCCCTTCAAATATAATCTAGAGCTCTCTCGTTATCACTCTCCAACTTAGGACGCTACAAACGGCTCCAGTGGGCAAAGCACAAGCTAATAACACACAGTCTTTTCTCTTATTCGATGCCTATTCGTTTTCCACGGAAAGGCGTTGCTCATAGGTTCAGTCTCATTTTTAGGACAATGGCTAAAAGTACGGACCATCAGCACTCTGTAAAACAGACCTACGTATAATTTCAATACCGGTTCAGTATTTAGGAATCATGTGAGAGTTTTACCACGCCATCACTAGAGTCCTACCCTGGCGTAAACGCGTGGCACTACTGTGTACCATACAGAAAATCGCTGGAGGTAGAACTGGCTTCGAATCAAGACTGGTAACAACCGTGCGGGATTATCACTATGACAGGGCACGATATTTTCTGATGGCGGTCCATTTTTGGTAGGTACACTGAGAACTCTGTGAGCGATCGATCACGCCTGGGCTTTGAACTAGTTCCCGTCCAATAGGTACTTAGCCAGCATATGAGCCACCTTCCTCAACAGTGATTGTTTTTTGTTCATCTACTACACAGAAAATAAGGGGCTGTAGGGATTGCACATTAACTGGGCCGATTTTCTTTTATGGCCAGGTTCTCCCTCGTCCAAGGAAAGGCAAACAAAGACTCCCGCATCATGCTTTGTTTTTTCTTACAAGGTAATATCAACTTGATAAATCCAATTATGTCACTTAAGTTTTAAAGACGAGTGGGGCCCAGATACAGCGGCCGACTGATCATGAGCATAAGCCTCAACAATCGTCATCAACCAACCAAACAAAAGCACATCCACAAATGTTACGCTCTCGCATAAAACCTCTCTAATAGCTCAATCATAGCGCGGAAAGCTCCATTCATCATTCATTGTCGGTGGTAATTTCAAGATAAGAACGGTTCGCTAGGAAGTCTACCACTCGGTGATGACAAGACCACTAGTTTTAGACAAAAGGGCAGTTTGATTACTCTGCACTCCACTTGATAATGCAACTGCAGATCATTGAATTGAGTAACGAGATAACTCAACCTTATTCATCAGACGGGACTGTTTCAACGGCGATGGCTCAAACCGGCTCAAACTAATCTCAGTTTTTCCATAGACAAAGGGAGGGTGGTGAACCTGATCTAGACGCTGACTGTAGGGTGAAGGCAAATCCAGCCAAGGGTTTTAGTTCTTTGTCATGCTCATTCATATTGAACCTGGAAATTTAAGCGTCCTCCGCTCCTTTGATATCAGTGGAGCTTCGCATTGGGTTCCAATGTGAATCTAACCTTTCTTGCCTCACTATCACTGTTAGTCTGGTGCACCAAGAGCCGTTGAAGTCAACAACAATTGCCAAATGCTCTTCTCACTGGGCACAACGCGTACATACAGAAAGTCGGGTTCCGCCTCAGACTTCTCCCTGCGCGCACGACTCCTATATATGTCAACTAAATCGATGCCCTTTCTCCTCATACATTCTCCCCACTCGAGTAGACACGTGTCACCGTTGTGGCTCTCATATGTTCTCCCCGCTCGAGTAAATAAGAACCACCACCGTGACTCGCCAGGAGCAGTTGCAATCAGCTTCCAAAATGCACTGGCTGTCCTCGTGCAGGCCCCACTATGTCAGCAGGAGTAGCGTCTAAGTTCAA